ATCAAAGAGAGAGGGAATGAATGAACGAGAGGGCAGGTGTGAGGGGTTTATAGCATTCTGCGACCTTTTCATTGAAGGAAATGCTTGGCACAATTCCCGAATAGTCGGGAGTTGTCAGGATGTATGATATACAATTGATGTAATTTCCTGCTTTGTAACAATATGACCCTTTTGTGGCTCAGTGAGGGAGAATAGTCTGTAGTCTGAATTAGCATAAATGTCCCAGATCTGTCGTGAAGATAAATTTGCTCCTTTTTCTGTTTTTCACATAATAAATGTTGTTAACAGGTCCAGTGGCTCATATGTCAAAGTCAGTCCCTTAATGAGCTGCAATTGTGCTTTATTTTTCCTCTTCTGTGAGCACATTTTATCTTCTCTTTTGTTGTTTGTATTGGTAGTGCTACGCTGTTAAAGTGATAGTTCACCCTAAAATCATTTACTCAACCTCGTGTCAGAATTGTGAACAAAATTATTTTTATTGAATCGGTTGTTTCAATTCACAAACCTTTCTGAATGGTTTGTTCATGAATGATAAATCAACTCACTGACTCAATGGTCCAGTCACAACGGTTAACAGCTTGTCAGTGAATAAACCTTTTTTTTTGTTTGTTTATTTTAATGGTGACATGAGGGCGAGTCAATAATGAATTTTTCAATTCTTTATTTTTTATTTCAATTTTTTTTTTTTTTTTTTTATTATACCTGTAAGCCTTTGTCTGAGACCATATCACCCATCCCCCATCTCATTTTAATTCTAACCCCTCCACCTTTTTATTACTTTTTCACATTCTCTCACTCCCTTTCCATCCATTTTGCCTTTCTTTTTTTCATCCATAGCCCTCATCTCTCTCTCCATCAGACTGATGGTGTGTGTGTCGTACTAACACTTGTAGAAGCAGTCACAGATGGTGCAGCCGATGCTGCTGATGTCAGCTGAAAAACACATTTCAGCACTTTTTCCCCCAGCAGAGAGAGCTGTTTGTCAGCCGTAGCCTCTCCATACCTTCACACCCCCAACATCACTGTGTCTCTCCACCTTCGATCACAGCCTGGAATGGCCAATCGGATCTGAGCCCATTAGAGAGCACTACAGCTGCATAGCTTGAATATACAAATGCAGGTATTTTCCGCTGTTTGATGTTGATCAATATCTGCATAAATTAACACTAGGAAGAATACTGAATCAGTTTCAGTTAAATGCTCCAATATAACAACAGCAATATTCAGCTACATTTTTACTGAAACATTTTAATATGAAAATTCCTATGCAGAATAACGCTAATTTAAATGATTAATATAAACAGTTAATTTAAATTGACAATTTGAACTGATTCTTGGAAATGAATCGAACTCTAATACTGAAAGTTAAATCAGAGACGTAAATAAAACATTGAAAATAACGGAAAAAAAGAATTGCATCAAAATCATCTGTAATTTTCACAATTTTTAATTGTTTATCTCCAGCTAGATTATCCAAATATTTTGTGAATATTCACTAATTTAAGGATCTTGATTGATAAGGCTGCACTGACTGCTTTAACCATAAATCAATTGTATGTTTGAATTAAATCTCTCTTTCTGGTTCCTCATTCTTTCTGTCCTAAGTAGACACTTCTATTACATTACTATTAAAGAGCCATGATCATCCGATTCACACACATGCACACTCTACATGCCATCCTCCCCCACACCCATAGACACTGTACACACATATAATACACACACTAGCACACACCATCCCCCACAAAGATTACGAGTCAGCAGCTTCCTCTCAGCAGTGACTGATTGGCGCTGTTGTGTTGCCAGCGGGCAGATGAGCCTCTCTCTCTCTCTCTCTCTCTCTCTCTCTCTCTCTCTCTCTCTCTCTGTGTGTGTGTACTATAATGCGTCTACTGGACACAGACAGCCCCGGATGACTCAGAGTCAGTAGTCATCAGTTTTGATTGTGTGCATATTTTGTGGATGCTATAGAATCCTTTGTTTGTGTATGATTGGATGAGTATCTCTGAAGGAGATGGAAAATAAATGTGATCTATCCATTCTCCTTTCTTAAGATTTGATATGTTCTTCATTCTGCTCTATGTAGAATGGAAGTCTCAACATTTGAAGATTGTCATATATCAGTATACAGATCTCTGGAATTCTTGATTCGGATTAGTCAATCACAGTATTTCATAGTCAAATGTTTTGTATAATGACAACCAGTTTACTGTTTTTGCAACCAGTCTCCTATAACTGTGCTTGTTTCATGTCTTTTGTATCATTCTGCTGTATCTTTCTTCTCACATAGAACAATATTTTTGACTCAAATCAGTGTTTCATGAGCATTTATTTTAGGGCTGTCAAACGATTAATCATGATTAATCGCATCCAAAATAAAAGTTTGTGTTTACATAATATATGTGGGTGCACTGTGTATAATTATTTTGTATATATAGAAATATACACACATGCATGTATATTTACGAAAAAATATTATTTAAATGAAAAATATGTATATTTATATATAATATAAATTATATATAGAAATCTATATACAGTATATACGTGAAAATATTTCTTAAATATACAAACATGTGTGTGTATTTGTATATATATAAAATAATTACACACAATGCACCCACATATATTATGTAAACACAAACATTTATTTTGAATGCAATTAATCATTTGACAGCCCTAATTTATTTTATTTTTTTTTTGCAAAAAAAGCCATTTAATGAGGAGGATAATGTACAGTCAGCTGATCATTATTACAAAATAAATCCCTTCAGAAAGATTCTGATCAACCTGTCTGTAAGTTATATTAGAGCAGAGAAAATATTTCTTACTTTGTATCTATTTCAAATGTATATTTAAAATTTAAGTTTCAAAAACAGAACCAAAGCCCAAAGTTTAACACTGTGCTTGTCCTGCTTTTCAGACACTGGTATTTCCTTCTGAAAATATACAGATATAGTTGATTATTAATGCAGTTGCAGTTAACATTAAAAAGGGGGGGGGGGGGACTTTTGTGTTTGATTTTGCTATAATCAAGAAGACGTCAGTTAGCCGTCAGGAGTCTATATGTTGTGTGTGTCTGATTTGTTTCACATTCCCCACACTATAATCAGCTGTGTTTCAACTCATTGTAACAGAAAAAGCCCTTTTAACCTCAGACTTGGGTTTTCCCTCCATGCCTTGGCCCTACATCTAAAAACAATTCACATGGAAAAATCTACAAAACAAATTCTATGGTTCCTGTTTTATTGTAGGAAAGAGATAATCTGCACTCCCTACTAACCACAAAAAATGTGGTTAACTGATGATAACATCTATGAAGAGTTTGCAGTTTGTCCCTGTCAACAAAAGAAACAAACTCATAGTAAACAGTGTCTTGTACTCATTCATTGAACATTACATGTTGATCTCATTCCCTCCCATCTATGAGCACAAGTTCACTTTACGTAATTGAAGGAGAAGAGAGAGCGCATTGTGGACTGAACAATGCTGACCCAGATCAAAGTCCAGCCATTGTAATGTGTCTGAGAACGAAGAACACAACACCTACATCGATGTCTGTCCATGACGTTTTGACTTCAGCATAGCACAGGCAGAGGCTGACTCACTGTCAGAGAAAGAACACAATTTGAATAGGCTTCTAAAGCTCTTGTGAAATGATTTACTCAGCTGCAACAATAAGAAGTCTTCATTTATCTTCATTTGGAGGCTTTTTTTCTGCAAATATTGATAAATATGATAGTTTGCTTAATTTGATTATTAATTAGCAGCATTCCATTCAAATTCTTTATTTGATTGACAGCTCTAGTTTACAGGTCAGACTAGAGAGTTATAGAGCCTATGTTTACAGGTCCCACAAGTTGCTTCACACCTGTGAAAAGAAAACCTGTGAGCTTGGGTAATTATTTTTTCCTTGTCTAAATTCACTTACTCATTTGCCCTTACAGCGTAAAGACCACAGTGGGCCAGCCAAGCTTTTGCAGGCTCAGGCATTTACCTAATTATCTAGCATTAGGTCAAATGGAAAGCTTCCATATCTGTCTGTGTCTGTCTCTCTCTATCTGCCTCTTCTCTCTCTCTCTCTCTATCTCTCTCTCTCTCTCAGCAAGCTCGGGATGGCTGTAGTTGTCACGATTAGCCTTGCACTTCCTGGGTTAACTTGGACCACATTTCCCATCATACACCTCCCTGGACTGATTACACGATACACCTGCACTGCACTGATTACACACACTCCCGCACTTCATTTACACACACGTAAAAGCCACTTTCACACACCACTTCTCTGTGAAGTCTTGACTTTCCTGGCTGTCATTCTGAGTGTTTATCACTGTGGAGTGTTTGTTGCCTTGACCTTGGACTGCGTACAGATTTTCTGATTGTTCTCTGCCTACCTCGACTTGGATTGTTGCTGGACCTTGCTTTTTACCGCCTGCCCCGACCATTGCTTGTTATCTGGTTTGTCTCTGCCTTTTCTCCATTGCCCTGTTTGCTGGTGTTGATCCCTGCCTTTCTGACGTCTCTAATAAAAGCTGGATATGGATCCCCTTGTGTCTGCTGAATCATTACAGTTGTAGGGATAAGCTGTCCTAGAGCCTATTAGGCTTTAAGGTGCTTCACCTTAGGGATAGATGTAGAAGCATGCAGGTTTGTAAACATAATCTCACATGTTTATGCAATATCATTTGCAACAAACAGGGGGCCAAGCTGAACCTACAGGGCTGACTCGAGCAGAGAGTGGAATGTCAGACGTCTTTGTTACATAAATGAGGCTGGTCTCTTGACCTTAACTGACAGACTCCACCTTTTCACTTTTTATTTCCCGCTGTAGAGAACGTTCGGTGCCGACCTGATAAAAGATTAACTGGCACTTTACAGTGTTTGTTTACGGTCATTTGAGCTGTCTAGTTCTCTCAACACACTCCAAGTGCCTTGAACAATAGCAGTGCTGATGGTAACATTGGCAATTTCCCCTGTTTTTTCTGTGTGTGTGTCCGCAGGTCAGTGCCCGGGGATTCGCTCCATTGTTACAGTTTGCCTATACGGCTAAGCTGCTGCTCAGCAGAGAAAACATCCAGGAGGTCATCCGCTGTGCCGAATTCCTGCGCATTCACAACCTGGAAGACTCCTGCTTCCGCTTCCTGGAAGCCCAACTGCGCAGCGAGGAGGATGGCCTGCTCCTGTGTCGCAAGATGGCGCCTGAGAGCAATCACTCGGAGGATGAGAGCATGCAACCTGAGCTGCTGACGACAACGACAACTGCAGTGAACCTGCCCGGTTCTCCACGCTCTCGTCGTTGTGCGGAGACCCTGAACTCCTTGCGGCGACCGGACCGTGAGCAGCTGGCGGCAACGGAAGATTTCGCTGATGGGCTGATGGACTTTGAGCGACACGGCACCTCAGACCTGCCACGATGCCCTAAGTACAGGAAGTACCAGTGGGCATGCAACAAGCACAATAACGACGCCTCCTCACACACCAGTACCTCAGGTTTTCCAAGCACATTCAAGGAGATGAGCAGGCCAGCAGTGATGCAAATCAAGCAGGAGCCACGCAGCGAGGAAGAGTCCATCTCGCTTTGCCTGTCAGGGGAGGAGCAGGACGGAGGCGAAAAGGACGGTGTGGCCGAGATGGAGCTGGATGATTCCATCGCAGTGGACCAACCAAAAGGCAGTAACAAGTCACCGACCTGCCTAAGAACTCTTTTCAATAAGGACCTGCCTAGCACACCCCAGCAGCTTTTTGTTAACAGACTCATTAATGCCCAGGATAAAGGAACCACTCAGGCAGACCACAAAAATGACTACAGGCCTTCACTTGGCAATGAGCTTGGCATGCCTGTGGTGTTCCCCAAAGACGCTGATAGTTTCCCGCCAGGGCTTTCGTTGAAGTCGGATTCATGTGATGGTGTGTGCAAGCAAGAGGTGGAGCTGGACCGCCGCAGTGTCATCTTCCCCCCAGGGGCCTGTGACCGACTGGGTACTCCCACCCACTCCCATCCCAGCGGAAACTCATTGGAGAAGGAGCTCTCAGAACACATGCCAAAGGGATTGTGGGCCGGCGCCAGCCAGTCCCTCCCCAGCTCCCAGACCTACTCCCCCAGCACCATAGCCAGTGAACCACCCCTGCTTTGCCGCCAAAGGCCCAATACCAGCTGCCCAGTGCCAATCAAGGTATGCTCGCGATCGCCCCCTTCTGAGACTCGCACCCGGACCTCCAGTTCCTGTTCGTCATATTCTTATGCTGAGGACGGGAGTGGCGGGTCTCCATGCAGCCTTCCACAGTTTGAGTTTTCATCATCGCCTTGCCCCAATGCGACAAGGTGTCTCACTGCTGACCCGCAGGAGGCAGGCGGTGGGACAGATGCTCTCTTCACACGGGTACGGCCAAAGATAAAGTGTGAGCAGTCGTATGGAACCAATTCCAGTGATGAGTCAGGGTCCTTTTCGGAGGGGGACAGTGAATCATGTCATACTCGAGAGCAAGGCCCTGAGGTGAGTCTTACCAATTTCTCTCTCATGTGTTTACCTGTTGTCTAACAATTCCTTCGAAAAGCACACTTTGCAACTCATACCTTCATTCATGCAGGAATCAATTAGATATGCACGCTGCCCTTATGTTATTTAGAGACTTTCCCTTTAGTATACAGCGCAGAGGAGCAAACTCAATTTGTCTCTGGATAACTACACACTTTGTCAAAATTGAGCTAAGACCAGTGTTGGGCAAGTTACTTTTAAAAAGTAATTAGTTACAGTTACTAGTTACTTCTTCCAAAAAGTAACTAAATTAGTTACTCAGTTACAAATTTTTAAAGTAACTAGTTACTTAAGAAAGTAACTATTGTGTTAAATTAAATTTTAAATGCTCAAATGTGACCCCCCTCTACCCCTCCTTAACGGAACTTAAAATACATGTGCATGTTCAATTCTAATGAAATCGACACTTAATACAATACATTATTAACAGAAATATGAAACATTGTACACACATGACATCTAAAAAAAATGTTGCTGTGGGACAAATTGAGACTAGCCTCCAATCAAATGCCATGTAGGCCTATGTTTATATAGTGGATCAATGCAAATAACACAATAGATGTTTTGGAACTTTTGATATTTATTGCCCCTCAACAGGCCACAACTTGGCAAAATTAAATTAAGCTTGTTAAGCAATATAACGTTTAGAGAAGGCTACTTTTGGATTATTTGGGCTCGTCGCCATACCTGTCTCTCGTTGACTGGCTGGCTTGTATTGTTCCTTGTGTGTCCGGTCCTGTCCGACTATGCGTTATGATGGGTCGTTTGCAATTCATGAGCGTTAGCCGTTAGTGATGTGAATCTGAATGAGCCGGCTCTTTTAGGTGAACGTCAGGAGCTGGCTCACATATCTGAAGAGCCGACTCTATTTTTACAAATTTAGCCTATAGAAATTAAATAATTATGTAATAAAATTTTAAATATTATAGTCAAAGTCATTTAAAGAGCGTTTGTGAGCCAAAATGATTGATATGAAGGTAAGTACATGATGACAATTATAATTTTTGGGTAAACCATCCTTTTAAAACCGTTTAAATCAAAATTCAGTTAAAACTTTTAAAACCTTTTTTTCTCAAGTCTCATTGTTTTTCCCTTTCGTATGGCAGTGTTCAATGCAACAGAAAGGAGCATTGAAAATTAAAAGTAAAACTGGGCAAAATAGGGCAGCTAAGAATATATAGCCAAATGTTATATAGCCAATTTATATGTTGCTCACATACTACTAATAAGGGGGTGTGGGTCTGCTCTGTGCTGTGATTGGTTAATACCAAGCAATGATTCACAGCCTCATCCTCAGAACATGTTAAACAGAGATAGAGAGGAGAAAAGAGATCCAGAGCACGTGTGCGCACACCAAACCCCAGTGCTTCCTAAGCTCAAGGCACACGATACTTCTTTCCAAAGAAATTGCCCTTTAATAGTGAGTTGCACAGTCACAGGCTATTCTTCATTTTGTCAAGGTTTGGTTGATCAGTCAAACATTTGATTTATCAGCATGCTCCATGAAGCGCCTACTGGCAGATGCTGGGTGCAGAAACCTTTTGCAGAAAACATTTTCTCCATTGACAGCCATTCAATATTTGCTGTATATTCTGTTTTTTTTTTTTTTTTTTTTTTTTTTTTTTTTTTAAACATAATGTACAGTATAGTTCAAATAGCATACAGTGCTAGTCAGCCCCCTTGGTAAATGTGATCAAAGATGGCTGTAAAAAATAAATCTGCATCGTTAATCCTTTTGATATTTTATTTTAAAAATTAGCATAAATCTAACCTTTCATTGAAGTAAAAAAAATTGAAAGTGCGGGGAAAACCACATTCTAAAATAAATACGTTTCTCCAAAACACATTGGGAACAATTATTTGCCCTTTTATTAAATACTTTTTGCAACCTTGTTTTTCCAAGATAACAGCTCTGAGTCTTCTCCTATAATGCCTGAGGAGTTTGGAGAACAGAGATCAGAGATCATAGACCATTCCTCCATACTGAATCTCTCCAGATCCTTCAGATTCCCAGATCCATGTTGACGCTTCTTCTCTTTAGTTCAGCCCACTCATTTTCTATAGAGTTCAGGTCTGGGAACTGGGGTGGCCATTGCAGATGCTTGGTTCTGTGCTCAGTGACCTATTTTTGTTTTGATTTTGATGTTTGTTTTTGGATCACTGTATTGTTGGAAGATTCAAACATGGCCCGTTATAAGATTTCTAGCACAGGCTGTCAGGTTTTGATTTTTAATCTGTTGGTATTTGATCAAATCCATATATCAGATGCCATATCTGAGCAAGATGTCCTGGATGTCCAGTATCAAATATATCAAAAGTATAAACAATGCAGATTTTTTTACAGCCATCTTTGATCATATTTACCAAGGGGGCAAATAATTCTGACCAGCACTAATAAACAAAGGAAAATTATTAATAAGGGAGAAGGAGAAAAAAATAGTTGTATTCATCTAAATCACAGTTAGTAAATGAGTGTTTGTTACCAATAGTTGTAATATCACTGAAAGGTTAGACACTGATAGAAAAGAGTTTAAATGTAGAGATTTAGATAGAATGAGGAGAAAGAATAGATAAACACTGGTGTGAAGCTGCTGTCTGATCTGAATGTGAGGGGAGTTTCACTTGGGATGCTGTATATTTTAAAAGAGCAAATAACTATAAAGGAGAAGGAGAGATCATGTTTAGAGATTGGGGATGAGACCTTTAGAAATGCATGTGGGGGCCTAGATGGAGAAAATGGTTTGTTGCCTTGGTAACACAGAGCACTTAGGAACGTATTGGCTAGTTTTCAGCATTTTGTGCATTTTTTTTTTCTGTTTCGTTTGTAAGACCTGAGACACACTGCACCCGATCTAAAAAAAAAAAAAAATGTTGCCTCTGCATCTGACATTTCATTTGACTTTTCAATGGAGCTTTGTATTTCAACTAGTTTACTTATCTTTGTTTAATTTAAAAAACAGACCCAAAATCACTTAAGGATTCCTGACTTCACTAAATGGCTTCATTTAAAGTACAACGGGGTTGGAATTGTATGTGCAGAGGTTCGAAATGAGGGTCAAGATCTCAGATAGCTTTTGAAGTTGAAAGCCCTCGTGTAGTATCTAATCTAATCTACACTCTTTCACTTTAGTTTTTACTCTTCTTCTCAGTTGCGTTCTTGTTTTTCATTTTCCCATCTACATCTAAACATTTCTGTGAAGCTGAGCTAATTAAAGTCTGAAAAAAGGACTTAAAATCTCCCTTCTTCCATTCAGAAACTTCATCTCAAGTTGACGACATAGAGTCTGATGACATAGTCAGCTGACGACATAGTCTTATAACACCAAAAAACGACCTGCCTCCAGTACAACACACACTCTAACACAAACTCCACATAAATATAAAAAATAAGACAAAACTAAAATGTATCTGCTGGAGCTCGTCAGGCCAAACGTGAATCGGATCAACTTAGGATGAAAACACGGATCAACATCGGCAGAGCGTTATGGAGAGACCTCCACTATTTTTATTGTGATCATCAATTTCAAGTTTTCAGATGGTAATGGTAAATTGTAATGAAGTAGCAAGGTAAACTACAACTTAAATGAGATATGAAATTATTACAAAAGACTGTTGCAGGATAACAAAAAGTAGGTGCTTTTGGATGTAACGGTCTCTGATCTACTGTCTAACGTCACTCATCCCACTACTATCATATTGTTTATAAATTATAATACATATTTCCAAACATGTTCAGTACACTGTTACTTCCTACGATCTTACTGTTACACTGAAATCGTTCAATCTGGTTCACTAATCATTTTCGTTATCGTATTATATCACCTATGTTGACATTGCTGATTGTGAAAAATATCGAATAGTTGTGAAATGCCTTATGCTAGATAACAGCACAAATGTAACGTTATGGTACGATCATGGAGCATTAGTTCAACGTCAAGCTGATAAAAGTAGCCTATTATTTTAAGGTTGCAGGGGGAGTTTATATGAGTTTACAGCATGTTGTGAGATGCCTTCTCCGGTGTGTTGAAAGTCTCAGTGTGGCCGTGTACCATGAGTGCTCACTCTTGTGTTTCGAGCAAATTCAGCACGAGCGCTCTTGTAAAAATCAGTTCCAATCTGAAACATCACAGATACAGGCCGCTAAAAAATACATATAGCACCTTTAATCCTGCCCAATATCTAAACTTAACAATTACATTACTAACTATTAATAAGCAGTAATTAAAAGTTTATTGAGGCAAAAGTCTAGTTAATAGTTAGTAGTCTAAAGTGTGACCATGGTTTGCTACTTTAACCATGATATATATTATATATATATATATATATATATATATATATATGTATTTCAGGATTCTTTGATGAATATGAATTTCAAAAGAACAGCATTTATTTGAATCCTAAATCTTTTGTAACATTATAAATGTCATTTTGTCATTCTGACCACAATCTGAATGGTAGTCTATAACAAAACATTTTTTGAGATAAAAATCATGCTTATAGTTGAAGAAATTCCCACCTCTCTATCTTGCTCTCTCCTAGTGATATGCAACACAAACACACAGACTTGTCAAAAAGACAGTCCTTTGTTGTGCAGCAAATGGCATGTAAGAGAAAGAGAGAGAGAGAGAGAGAGAGAGAGAGAGAGAGAGAGAGAGAGAGAGAGAGAGAGAGAGGAGCAGCACACAAAGAGGGAACACAATCTCAAAAATAGCTTCAGTCTGCTGCTTGAAACAATGAATTCAAAGGAGGAAGGAAGTTGTTAAACTCTAGGCTAATCATAGCACTGTAGTCCTTCTAGACCAGTATCTCTTACCCTCTGTGATCCACATCTATTCAAACAGGAAGAGCTCAGGACCAAAAATATTGCCATATCATTTGATTTGTCCTTATTTTTTTACTTGTTTCACACACAATAATACATACTTTTTAAAGTCGACTTGACACCTCTGGAAGATACTGGAGGACCTTACTACTCTGTCAGCAACCCTGAAGATTTCACTGTAGACTGACCAGAGAGATTTCAGTTGTGGGGGCAAAGAAAGGTCCTGAAGTAAAAATGAACAATGCCCTACTGAGGACAGTTATCAAATCTTGAGATCTTTGAGAAGTATTATCTAGCATTTTCTTTACACTTTAGTCATTCGGTTCCACTGCGTGAAGTATTGATCTCGGAGGGAGTGGGTGTGATCAGAAAAGCCCACAGACGAAAATCTCACTCTCAGTTCTTCATTTTCATTCTTGAAAATCACGGTGCAAGAAGCATTAACCCTTTAGTGTGGCCGCCTGCATCGCAGGAAGTGAAGGGTGAAGTCAGAACCATTTCTGTTCCTCTCATTCCGACTTTAAAAGCCAAGCCGCTCTCTCAATATGAGCCGATTGTGGTCTACAAATTATTCGTCAGACGTCACATTGGTGAGGTGTAAAACCGCATGATTGAAATATGTTCAAGGTGAAAGCTTGAAATATTATGAACGCTCACTGTTTGCTTGTAGAAGTAGATGCAGAGATCACATAGAGTGCAGTTTGCAGTAATGTCAATTCTAATATATATAAAATAAAATATTAAGCAGCACAACTGTACTTTACTAAATCCAAAATTTTATATACGTTTTGAGAGCCTGATTACAAAACAAAAGTCTCACCATTAAAATCCATGTCCACACAATTATATGTTCTCATTATAATTTTATGTAGTTAATATGGCAGACCTACATGGAAACAATATTTTCCTTTTTGGTGTGATTTCAATTATATTTCAAGCAATTCAAAACCATCATGGCAAATTATTTATCGGCTTTAATATATCGGCCGGGGGGGGGGGGGGGGTCGACGATAATGATAACATTAAAAATGAACATATCGTACATCCCTAATTATATTATGTTTCTCCCTCAGTTCCTTAGGAAAAAAATCAAAAAGACAAACAGAAAATGTCAAATAAATATTGATATTGCTCACATAATGTGGTCTTGGAATAATTGTTGAATAAGAAATGGTTTTAGTTTACATTACCATTTTTTAATTTTATAGCAAACTTTGGTATCTTGTGAAATCCGAGCTCAGTTTGAGACTCTGTTAAGATCTCCTCTGGAATTATTGAAATCATGATTTTTAGAAGAAAAATTTGAGAAGCCGATGATTTAACTCTCCTTTTGTTCGTCATTTAATCTCATTGCCGCCCTTAGGATGGCTTTTTACTCCAGATGTGTTACATTAGGATTTTACCACTGACCTAGACAGGCATTCATACAGGCCATTTATCTTAGGTGTACACATACCCACACAAGCAGACACTTGGGTCCTGATGGAAATGAAGTCCCATGGTGACCACGGACAGGCCCATCACTCCATTAGACAGAGTGAGTGTGTGCGTGTGTGTCTGTCCCGTGTCTTTGAAAGGTTGGTGAATACATGTGTGTGTACGCGGATAGCTTTCCCCCATTACTCAGCCCCTGTGGAGTCTTCCAGTAATAGCAACAGGGCTGAGAGAAGAAAAACAAGAGAAGAAAGGAGGGAAGAAGAAAAAAAGAGGAATATCTTAGGGGTTGTTTCAGATTGTTTTCTTATCTGTGTCACATGGCGTCTCATTACCGAGACATGTGAATCGAAGAGCCGCATAGGAGCACAGTAACGTTTCTGGGAATCTCTGAAGGACAGTAATGATATTTAGCAAACAGATGATCTAATTACCGCTAAAGGCATTGAACTGACCAAGCGGCTAACTTTCCTTCTTGTTTGCACATTTAAATCATTTCCACACTGCAGTTTTTACTCACATTAGACTGGAAATGAAGCACTGTGCCAGTAAAATTGCTAAAATATCTGTGTGTGACCTCAGGCATTTGGCCTCGCTCATTCCAGTCACCTCTTTTGTCCGTCACCTTCCCACAATTCCCTGCTGCAGATGTCCATGCTAAGAGAAAGGAACCAAGGGACAAAAAGAGTGGGGCCACTTTGCTCCCAGTAACAGAGGAGTCCTACTTTTCACTCCAGACCCATTTCAAGAATAATGACCTATAGAAAGAGTAAAGGGACAAGAGAAGACAGAGAGAGACAGAATCAGGATCACGTTCGAATTTATAAACTCTACTGGTGTACGTTCTGTCATCTCTGCCGGCAAACTGGTTGTGGTGGTAAGACACTAAATATAGACATCACTCTTACACTACTGCCACACACACACACACACACACCTCAAACCAATATCCCAGAGAGAGGAAAAGAACACACGAGAAGGTCATAGAGAAAAGGTGTTTCCTTGGACCATGTAAAAAGACCTTTCTCTCCGTCTAGTCTAGCTTGAAAATCGTATCATTCAAGACAACAGAAATTCACACACTGCGATTCTCGATGTCAGCTGACTGAGCTGAGAGTAGAAAAAGGTCTGTCCCTCATTTATTAATGATGCCGCTCCGACCTGCCAGTGCTCCGGGCCCCCTGCTGCTCTGAGCCAGACTGGGCCAGATCTACACTTTCATCTTTTCTCAGTCCCAACCACAGTCACTGTGGGCTTCCCAGCAGAGCGGCGCGCTTCACATGGAAGAGTCGCTGGTCCAGGTTTATGGGGTCATTATCACACTAAGCCCATGTGAGTTCTTAAGTAGGGCAGCACTATATAGACAGTATAGTGGTTACACTGCGGTTGCCTCATTCATTTACTACACTAGTAGATTGTTTTCATGTTATGGACAAAAACTGATGAATAGACAATATTCAAATTCTGTAAGAGTTTGTATAAATAAATTCAAATTGAAATGCTAAAACTAAAAAAAATAAATACATTTTTGATGCTGAAAGTATGTATGCATTATAATGTACAGGATTAATTTTGAGATTTGCTAAAGATACCATTTAAAAGTGTTATTGAATTATTAGTGTTTTAATGGCAAAGTCTAAATGTAAATATAGAGAAAATTAGCATGAACACAATTGAAAATCCAATATCAGTTAATACAAGGATAAAAACTTATAATGTAACTATATATTGTGCATCTAATGTATGTTAAATGATGTTCCATCTTTACATGGGGTGTTTGGTGTAAATAATAATAATTATTATTTTATTCAACAGGGATGAATTACATGGATCAAAAGTAAAGACATTTACAACGTTGCTGTTGATTTATATTCTTCTAAGAATCCTGAAAAAAAAAAAAATTATGGTTTCCACAAAAATATTAACTAGCACAGCTGTTTTCAACATTGATAATAATAAGAAATGTGTCTTGAGCACCAAATCAGCATATTAGAATGATTTCTGAAGGATCATGTGACACTGAAGACTGGGGTAATGATCCTGAAAATTCAGCTTTGCCATCACAGGAGTAAATTACATTTTAAAATATATTCAAATAGAAAACAGATACTTAAATTGTAAAAAATATTATTTCAAAATATTACTGTTAACAGTACTTTTTATGTCTTGATTTGCATAAAATACTTGTTTTAAAAACATTACCAACCCCAAATTTATGAACTATAATTTTTAGGCTAAATGTAAAAAAAAAAAAAAAAATTCTGCTGATAGTGAATGAGTGCAGAATTTTAACGAATAAAATCTTAATCAGACTTCCTCAGATATAAGAAACTGTGGTCACCAGTATCTAGTGTTCGGCAGGTGAATGTCTCCCTCAAAACTCTGATCGACTTTGGACGTCAGCAGATTCAGCTACAGAGGACTGGCTCAATCCCTCTCGCGTTCTCAACCTGAATTTGTTTTTGTTTTTTTGACACTCATTCCTTTGTTTATCCCTCATGAAAGCTCTCTCTGACAACAGTAGGTATGACATACCCTCAGAAAGCCACCCAGACCATGATGGAGAGAATAGTCAAACAGCCTGCGTGTCATGCTCATTGTACATGGATACGTCTTTTACTGGGTGATATGTTCAGAATCCGCTGACAGCTTAACTCGTTAACGGTTGTGATTTGCATACTCATGCCCTCTGGTAATCACCTGACAGGAGTGTGAAATGGAGGAAGAAAGAACTAAAGCAGCTGTGCCGCTTTTTTATATTATTTCTCTGACAGAAAGAGGCTTTCTTGTTCGCGTCTTTCTCACTCTTAATTCTCAGCCTTTGTTCCTGTCTGTCTTTCTTACTCTTTTGACCTCTTTGTTAATAAGTGATGCTGCTGGTTAGATGTTGTAAGCTTGTGTTGTTAGACCTCGCTTTTTGAATGTGAAGAACTGTGTTCTGCCTCCATCTAGTGGTGACGAAATATATTGCAAGTAAGTTAGGTTACATTTTAGTATGTTTTTATTTCATCAGAATACATAGATCATTTTCAATGGCCATCAATGGAGAAAGATGTTTTGTTTGTTTTCTAACAAATGGCGTAGTAAATCTCCTTGTGTGATGCTGATTGTGTTCAATTCTCTTGTTCTGCCATCAGCTGTCAACCAGATGACCTCTGATATTGTTGATTTAATGTCTTGAGGAGAAATAGTAACACTGCTACTGTATGACTTTACAGGTCAAGCTTCCATTCCCCGTCGATCAAATCACAAATCTTCCACGCAACGACTTCCAAATGATGGTGAAAATGCACAAGCTGAGCTCAGAGCAGCTGGAGTTCATCCACGACGTGCGCAGACGCAGTAAGAACCGTATCGCGGCCCAGCGCTGCCGCAAGAGGAAACTTGACTGCATCCTGAACCTTGAGTGTGAAATACACAAACTGGTAAGTAGCCTATACACAAACAGCTCTCGCTGTCTCGGCCCTGTTGTGTGTGACAAAACATCTTTATTGGACACGTCGGCCTTCAGGTTGTTATCAATCCCCATAAGCAGCAGGGGAACTCGTCTCCTAGGCTGTCACGTTGCCATGGCAGCACGGCTACCTGTCAATCAGAGAGCCGGTCCCATGCCGTTTCCGTGATGGAGGTGGAGCCGACTGTCTTTGATGTGTGAAGCCATGTATGTGCATGAAGCCTGACAGCCCTGATGCCACATGCGCATCTTCCATATAATCTCGCAGAAAGCAGCTGGAGGGATGCCTTTGCTCCTCTTTTCCTCCTCCTGGTCTTATCTTGGAGTTTGACGGCTATATTAAAGCGTAACTGAAATGAAGTTGTAGAATGAATGAATTTATGATGACAGGAAATATTTGATGTTTGTAGACTAGATATCCATGGAGATTGAGAGCGGGACGACACTGTTAATGCTGCAGGGTGACCTACATATCTCAGCTGGTCCCTATAGATCACTGTACATTCATAACCATGCATGTGTGGGAAGCAGGTTTTTAATACATTGTGAAGACCAAGGGCATTGTGGGCGTCCCAACAAAATTCTTAAAGGGTTAGTTCACCCAAAAATGAAAATTATGTCATTAATGACTCGCCCCCATATCGTTCCAAGTCTTCCGTTCATCTTCGCAACACAGTTTAAGATATTTTAGATCCGAAAGTCCGATTTCTGTCCCTCCATTGAAAATGTGTACGGCATACTCTTCTTGTTCAGAAAGGAAATAAAGACATCATCAAAGTATGTTTTGAAGCATCGAAAATACATTTTGGTCCATAAATAACAAGAACTTGTCTATACAGTGTAAAAATTACACTGTTTGATTATCAGCATTCTTTAAAATAATCTTTTGTGTTAATTTTTGGATGAACTATTCATTTAATAGTTATACTTAATAATGTTAAATGAAAACCAACATAATGTACATATTCTCAAAAAGTATTTCTATGTACAGGGAATTTTGAATTTAAGTAAGAAAACTTTATTAATCCTTGTAAGGGGAAACTCATTCGCCCCCCATTTGCACATTAGTCACCACTAACAAATAAACATTAAAAAAAAAAACAATTTCATTAAACAACCTAACTGCATTCGGAATAAAAGACCTTCTAAATCGCTCTGTAAAACACGGAGGCATTACCAATCATCCACTAAATGAGCTTTTAAGTCCACTAAAGGTACAATGTAGTGGATGACCTTTGTAACGCATAATAATTTTTAATTTTGCCCTTGTTCTCTTTTCCACAGTAATCTCAATTAAATCAGGATTAAGGCCAATAACCGAGCCTGCCTTTCTAATCAATTTCTTAATCCTATTTCTATCATCTACAGTGATACACGTGCTACGATTCCCTGATTAAAAAAAAACATAAAAAAAGCTTTCTTTGTGATTGTAAATCTTGGAAAAGTCATGGAAATTGTTTAAATTAATATTCAATATATAGGCCTATATCTATATAATGAAATATTTCAGTGCTGTGTAAAACAAAAATTCATTAGTTTTTTTTTTTTTTTTTACAATCGCTAGGACATATTTCTCAATACTTAAAAAAGTAACCTAAGTATTGAGAAATGGGTAGTGATTGTAAAAAAAACTGTAATGATTGCTGATATTCTATAAATATTTCAGTAATTCAGTAAAGAAAAACTAATATTATAGCTAAAAAACTACTTTTTTCTATTTACATACATTTAAATAGACTAATATATAAAATTAGGGCTGCCAAACAATTAATCACGATTAATCACATCCAAAATAAAAGTTTGTGTTTACATAATACAGTATATGTGGGTGCACTGTGCATAATTATATATATATATACACACACATGCTTGTATATATTTAAGAAATATTTTCATGTATATACTGTATATAGATTTATATATAATTTATATTATATAAAAAAATGAATATTTTATATATAAATAAAAAGAATTCTTAAATATACTGTACATGCATGTGCGTGTATTTATATATATAAAATAATTATACACAGTGCACCCATATATTATGTAAACACAAATTTTTATTTTGGATGCGATTAATCGTTTGACAGCCCTATATCAAATATGTTTAATATCGAAACATTTTTAAATATATTCCTGTGATGGCAAAGAAGAATTTTTCAAAATGATTTCTAAAAAATAATCCCGAACGAACGACTAGAAAGCTCATGCAAAAATCCTGGTTATTTATTGGTCAAAAAGTGTGTGAGCTGCATTATACACAGAGGTTTAAAATGTGTGTTTTATGTGTGTCCACTCCCACAGGTGTGTGAGAAGGAGAAGCTCTTAACAGAGCGCAACCAGTTAAAGGCGTGCATGGGGGAGTTATGGGAGAATTTCTCCTGTCTTTCTGAGGAGGTGTGTCGAGACGTCCAGCTGAGCCCAGAACAGGTCCATCACTACTGCCCAATACTGCGCCCCGGCAACACCGCCTCCGTCACCCCCGGCAACCAGGCCCTGCCCACGGGCAGCATCGACCTCACCGCTTGCTCCACCCCCGAACAGAGCTTCCTTAAAGCGGCCACTGCAAAAGACGGAAAACCGCGACCGGCCCAGTGGAAGACCGGAAACGGGTCTGAAGACGTAGGCAACGACAGGGAGGAGCAAGAGGCCAGCTCCGCCTACCTGGAGGCGGGGCTGTCCCTGGAACAGTCCAATCAGACGGTGACAGTAGACTTCTGTCAGGAGATGACAGATAAATGTACAACCGACGAACAGCCCAACAGAAAGGACTGTACTTAATGATGGTGGTTTGTTTCTCTGTGTTGATGTTTTTTTTTATTATTATTATTTAATTTAGTTACGTCTTCTGACAACCCCTCAAAACTCGAGGGCTGTTGAGATGGCCAGCCTCTGCCAGTGTTTTTGATTATTTTATATACATATTTATGTCTTTGTAATTGTCTTTTTTTTAAACAAAGGTTGACACTACAGTTGTCTTAACAGCAGCAATACTGTTCTCCAGGTTTTCTCTCATTCAGCCATGGCAGAGTGGCTGAGACCTTCTCACAGAACTTCACGATGGTGCTACACCTTTCCATGACAGTGCAAGACTGTCTGTTTCCAGTTACAGTCCATTCAGATGGGATGGGCTCTGACCACATCTCAAATTCAGACCTCTATGGACCTAGCAGCAGCATTTTGCTCTCTCTCTCTCTCTATCTCTCTGTCTCTTTCCTCACCCCACCTCCATTCCCTATTTCTGCCCTCTACCTCTAAACCTCTATCACTCCTTCTCTTGTCTCTTTCTCTTTGTGGCCCTTGTCACAGTAAATTCAAACTCAGGAAATATTCTGAATGTTCAGTATAACTCATGAAAAAAAAAAATACAGATTTTTTTGTTTTCTACAGCAGCTAGACTGTAAATGTCCATATGCAAAAATGTCTTCTGCATCATACGTTTGTAGTGTCTGTGTACCGCAACACTTAATTTGTACAGATGGTGGTATCTAAAAACATTCCTCCTTTGCCTTCCACAACACTGATACGAAAGAAAGTACGACGGAAAGACGAACGATTCGAATTGCAGTTTCGGCCACCTTTTGCGTCAGCAATACTGTACCGTTGGATGTTTTTTTTCGAGAAGTGCTCGCTCGGCAGAAAGCGTATTGTAAATAGTACGGCGCATGGACACGGTCCCGGTAATATTGTACAGGTAGAACTTTAGATGGCTTTTTCTTTTCTTTCTTTTTCTCTGGGGTTTGATCAAGCACCTTTTTGCCACGAAGGGAAAATCGTTGCTGTTTCCTGTCTCGAATGAATTCCCCATGACGATGGGTGTGCTTAAACTCAGGAAATTAGCATTCTTACACTCACTCACGCATGCACACACACACGCTCACATACGAACCCCCCCAGTGCAGCGCGTAGAGCCCTTGCATGTAATCTGGATGTAAATGGTGTGTGTGTAGTGGTGAGCTGTTCTCCTTTAAATGTGAAAACGTGCTCTTTTATCAGTATTTACAGTGTGCTTGCAGACACCTCCGAACAGTGTTACGTAAAACAAACGTCATCACACCCTTTCGGTTTTGTCCCGCGTTTTACTGCTCGGACAGGAACACGAACTCAATTAAAGGGTTTTGCCCTTACCTGTTGTTACCCCTCAGCACTCTTTGACCGCTTAGCACTTCTGAAAGGGTAGATTTCTTTTTCAGGACCCTAAAAAGTCTGAAATTGAAGCACTTAACACAGACACTTAAAAGTGTCTCTCCTGGCTGATGATCTTTTAAAGAACATTTTCAGATTCATTTAAATAAATAAATCAAAAAGTTAAAATTGCGTATTTATGGAAGACACTAGAAAGCTATTTTAGAGAGCATCGAAAATCTGCTCTGAATTGGATGGAATAAGCCAATTCTTTAAAGTCGACCTAAATTTTCCTTTATTGTACATTTGTTAGATGCGTATATCCATACTGATGGGATTGCATGCTGCCTGTATGTTTTATATAGTTTGTTTAGAGTTTCTTTGCCTCGAAATGTAGGATTGAATCTCGATGAGTTCACTCTGCAAAAACTAAGAGCATTTATCTTTAAAAAACAAACAAAAAAATGGATCTCCCAATAAGTAATGCAACACAGTTGGGAGTGCCACTCATTTGACATAGTTCCATGTATTATTTGAATGACCTTTGACCCCTAGAGCTCAACGTGTGCGTGCTTGTGCATTTCCGAGTCTGATAGTTTGATATTCAGACAAGTTGTTTCAAGTTGTAATACATCCCCTCTCCCTCTCGTATGCAAGCACACACACACACACAGACACACAAACATGTCACACTGGGTGGAGTGTCTCTCCTAGGGATGTAGAATCTAGAGGTGTTGTGATGGATAGTTGTGCTGTTGTTTTCGTTGTGGATCTGTTCTCTTTTTCTAAAGACATTTTAACAGTATTTGCCATTTCTAAATTGTAATCAGGTACAAGACTAGAACTAAAGATTTATGGGTCCAAGTGGACATTTGTGCACACATATGCAAATCATCCCTATAGTGATGCGTTTTTTTTTCTTTTTCTTATTTCTTGTTGTATAAATAATGAAGCGTGGAAAGCATGACCTTCCACCTGACAAGCACACTGTCGTACACTTGAGAATCTACAGTATGTCCACAATTTCTGGAAAAAAAACTAAAGGTCACACCTGCATCAAGGCTATCCAAAAACATTTTCCCAAATCTGCTTTTATGTTCCTCGCATAGCAAAGTATTTGTCGTGTACTTGCGCGTTTCTGGGCTGTACATGAAACGGCTGACTCCTCACGCTTGCACACTTGGCCTTGGGAGCCTGGGGATGCTTCGGTTCAGGCCGACGCTTGGAAACGGTGGAAGAAGCCGAGAGTCTTTGTGACAAGGATTGGAATTCTGACCTCTGTTAGCCTCTGTTACAAAAAGCTGCATCATGTTTGCCTCCACAGTGACCGCAAGGGTTCGGCCTGGTCACAGAAAGCCTCGCAGGTTAAATAAGCTTATTAGCTCTCCTCTCAACAACACTTCTGCTAGTTTTTGTTGTTTTACAGAGGTTTTATTTTCGTATCGGACTCGTGGTTGCTCTTGTATCTTGTCTCAGGTTTTTTTGTTGTTTTTATTTGGTCGTCCGACATTTTTGATGGTAGCTGGTGAGCTCAGCTTTCATTTGTCACTTATTTTTGTGTCTTGCATTTTTGTCTTCTAATAAAGCTAATGGGTGGGGTTTTAAGAGTTTCTAAGCTAAGAATAATTGATGCATAGCGAAAACATAATAGATTTGCACAATTCTTTTGGATAAAAAAAAAAAAACCCAACAAGGGCTATGGAATATCTCGAAATGAAATCCAGCAATTAGTTGTTTTTTTTTTTTTTGTTGTATATTGGCTGATACAGCTAATCGTTTAAGCTTTCGATCTGCGATTGCGGTTAAAGGACGCGTATTTTAAGCTTCTGTAAATGTATTGAGAACCAATACTGTACAGGAAAACACCCTACATCTCTTCTATCTAACGTCACGTAAGCTCCTGTTTAATGTCATTGACTCATTTGAATAATTTGGTCGGTTTGTTTCATTCGTGCTGCTTCTCAGAAATATGAACACTGGCGTTCCAAAGGGTTGCTCAAAAACTTGCCTTTTTCACAATTTGCTTAACTTTATAAAACATTTGATATTCGGACTCGACGTGCTGAAAACGGCGTAAGAGAAAGGCAAAATGTTTACAAAAAGGTGTCGTGTTTTACGAGAATTTTGCCATGTACATATAAATCGTGAGGCTCGTTTCGAATGGATAGTTTTAGCATTCTGTCTCTTTGTTTTGTACGTTTTTACAAGCGAACGAAGAAATGGCCGTTTGGTAACTATGCTCCTTTTCCTCAAGTTGTCTTGTCGCCCGACGGGGATGCTCCAGTGTACCATGAATACAAAGTGCACATCCAACTTTGCCTTAGAACTTCCAGAGGCCATAGTTCACATTCAAGTGAAGTGTGTATGCAGGGGCTGTGAGCCCCCATGTTTTGGCTAGCAGAGCGGACTCTCTCTCACACACTTATCTACCTGTGAAATCCTTCATACCTCTCATTACTGGTCAATGACTGTATCAGCAAACTGCATCAGGTGTTTTTTCTACATGCTTTTTACACAGATTATATGGATTATTGTATTGGTAGATTTTTGGTGCATCATTTTTAATGGAATAGCTCTTTGGCTAGTAGTCACACGAGTTTTCTTCTCTCTATCTCTTTCTGACTCTTAAATCACATTTTTTCTAGAAGACTGTTTTGTGTTAATATTGTCGATTTGAGGTAGCTGTTTCTTTGCTTATTCTGTACTAAGAGTTTTTACTTTTTTCATTTTGAAATGCTACATGACCCTAATGCATTTAATGACTTAAAAACCATTGTACATACGGTATTGTGCAGAACTCATTTTCTTGCATTTCAATTGCTAGTGTTATATAAATTACAGATTGTCTAGACACCATTTCTGTTTATGAAATAAAGAAACATATCATGTACATTGTGTTGTGATTGCTTGATTCTCCTCCCATTGTTGAATGAGTGTATATAGAACCATTTTTCTATAGGCTTTTTTTTTTTACTTTGTGCCGACAATAAATAATACGATTATAAATACATTTATACAAATAATGAATTTATTCAGCAAATTTGTCTAATAAAATATTGTGTAATATTGATTCTTATGATAAGGAATGAGTTTTTAAAATACTAACATGTTCACATAAAAAAAGAAGAGGTTCACTTTGATTTCAGCCAAATTTCGCAACTGTATACATTTCAAACTATAAAACTATTTCTATAATGAGTTTTATATATTTTTTCTTGGTGATAAGGTTGACTCAGTCACTCAAACTGGAAATAAATTGTTTAGTGGTTTTAGGATAATCAAAATCCCTATGCAAAATATGAACATCTTTTGTAGTGAGAGAATTATCCTGTAAGTTAATTCGTTCATTGTTTTGCATTATTTTTGTAATATTGAGAGATAGACAACACATTTTGTGAGGAAATGAAAGCAGGAGCATTCAAGATAAACTCGTTGAACAGATTAATCCAAATGCCTGTATGTTAATGAGGTCTGTCTCAGTCAATTTACTGAAGATCGGTATGTCGCTGCCACTTAGTAACTTACATACTTAACTAACTTTAATCGGCAGCATTGACAAAAGTGTATTAGGTCAACACTACATTTCACGAGTTAACACTTAAAATACAATTAGAGTGGATATAAGGTTTAACGCGTAGCCTAATGGGCGTGCTGTCTAGGGAGGGCACGGAGGAGAAGGAGTGGTGGAGTGAGTGATAATTGCTGAATCTATACCATTACCTCTTATCATTGATTGTTGGGCGTAGGCTACTAATTAACTAAACCTGCTCCTCCCGAACTTTGTTAATTTTCTAGTGTTAAAGGTCAAACTTTTTTATAATCTGTAATTCACCACCAGATGGCACTGTTTTGTGGTAAGCCTGAACTCATTACTTCAAGCAGAACTCTTTATAATAATACAACAGTTTGTGATAATAAAAAAGATGGATTTGAGAGATTTTGCTTATTAAATCTAGGGTAGGTATTTTTCGGACAGGTTAGCATTATAGCGAGGTAGCTTTGAAAGCAAAAGATCCCACCCTCCCTTCAGAGGGTCTAAAAACCCATTCCTCCTCCAAAACGAACGACGAACCTCGCACAGCCAGACCAAACAAAAGCACCTAAGATCATATTAAACTATCCCATATATTAAAGCACATAACATTACAATAATAACGAACATAAACAGTTTAAAGAGCACTGACCAGTAACTAGTTGGCTGCTGCAGACTCATTGATAGTGTTGCCATTTAAACGCATTAAATTCAAAAACGAACTGCTCTAAGTATGTCACGAGTTTCCATCTCTTCCAAATTACAGTAGTTATGATGTGAACGGAGTATAGACTAAGTTTTGGCTCAGGAGGAACTGTAAAAGATGGCTGCTGTTTGTTTATGGTGCTCGGTGAATGACGTCTGTCTAACAGCATGAAACTCGTACAGTAGATCTATGATGTGTGATGTATGCGCGACCATGGCGCGCGGACATATGAAAATACAAGTTGGCAGGCAGGCAGGATTTCGTATCATATTGTATCATTGCAAGATAAATACATTTAGACCACCTAACTATCAGGATGTGAATAAACTTTCAACCAGCATAACAGAAAATTGGTTCTTGAACAAATTGAATATATACCCTTCCTTTATTTAATGTTGAGGAAAAACAACAAATTATCTGATGATAATATCATAGAGAATATAAAATCACTTCCTTTCATAAGGATAGGCAACAGGTGCTGTTTGCTAAAAAATATCAAAATTTGTTTTTAATACTTTAAAGGAAAATAGCCTATATATTAAAAAATCCCTTAAATGATTCAAACATATCCAATGATAGCCACCACCATCTATGAATTATAAAAAATAAATAAATAAAAAAAAAGAGTAAGCTTTATTATTGTGAAAGTATTTATTGAGAGTAGCACTACAGTAAGTCCTTTGAATTAATATGCAGTAATTATGGAGTGAATGAAAATCAAACCAGCGGAATATACAGCAATTTCCATCTTTGCTATCCGCTCAGAAGATTGTTCCAAAATGTCACTTTTTCATGATTGAAGACAGTTCCAGAATCATGCTCTGAAAAAGAAGAAATTATTCATATTTACTGCATGAATCATTAGTCTACACATCAAACGTATGTTTTTATTCAATGAGAAAACGCAAAATGTAAAAAATGCAACATCAACATCAAATCTTGAAACTCTTAGTTATTGTTGTGATGAGCATTTTGTCTCTTTGTGAAAAATAACAGACAATTTAATGATTTGACACTGTTTGTTGACACTGTTACGCATTACTTATTAATGTCACTTTTTCGTTTTTGGTTTGCTGTACTACTGAAAAAACATAGTCCTAACCTTTATCTCCATATCAAAATCTTAGTTGGCCAGACAGTGATTCATTTTACTAAATCTTAAAATATTGGTCTTTGAGACACCATGAGCCCGGTACACATGTATACTGTAAAAACTAAATGTGCCTCAAATAACCTGTCGGATACTCAAGGAACTTAAAAATGTAATTTAAGTGCCTCAAAGCTGTTTCTTTAGGGTTACTGGTGGACAATCTTTGTGGTTCTTGCTGGAACTTATGGGATCCTTTAAGCACTTTGTACTCAGTTCAGAGGTTCTGGAGTCACCTCTTCACTATGAGACCTCGAAGTGCTTTGGGGTGAAATAATAATATAATAATAAAAATAACAAAATAACAATAAAAATTGGTTCCTGGAGGCACCCAAAACGGTTCCACATAGTACCTAATATAAGAGTTCCTCAGGAAACCTGTGTGGTTCCTCCATTTTAAAAGGGTGCCTAGAGGATCTACAGACTGTTCTGCCAGTGTGGCAAAGTGAAGAACCCCAAAAGGTTCCTCCAGACACCTTTTATACAGTGCACTGTACATTGTAAGTTTTTAATGTTTAGCTTAAAGGTGCACTATAAATGAATAGTGATCATAAATAAGTTTTCTCACTTGAAACTGAGCTGAGGCTTGAATCCGTCACGACTTACAACAAACGGATAGTGGATTATATTCCTCTACTCACCATTGACATTCTGCGTCCAGCAGTAGGGGGTGGTGTCATTGCTGGGCTCTCCCCTTGAGCTATGCGGTTGGCGTCCGTGTCCGATCCACTCTTGGAGTCTGGACTATCAGACGGGCTATTTGAAAGCCCCCGTGACATGAAGCTAGCTTTCCTAGCTGTGGGATAATTCCCACTCTCCGGGGAATCACTATCCTCACTGAAGTCTTTACTGACACGGCTCTGCTTCCGTAATGCCGTTAGTATCTCTATGTGACTGGCTCTGAGTGAAGCTCTGGGCTGCTGACAAACATTTCCGGGTGGTCCAGAGCCCTTGGGCCCAGACTCTTCGCTGCTGTAGGAGTGCTGACGGTTGTCTAAAGTGGACCGTCGTTCTGTGGCTCCCAACTGTTGGAGAGCCTGAAATTCGGACTGGCTAGGAAGACGGTTCTCCCTGGGGGGTTGCTCAGATCCATTAGGGTCACCTTTTGGCTCCTCGTGGCTGTATGGAGGACCAGCCATCTGTCCATCTGGTACCACTGTAAGGGAAGCGCGCGTCAAATGTATATGTTTTTGTGGTGAGGTGTTTGTAAGGATGCATACTTGTTGGACCATGGAGTTTTTCTTTGACCTGCAAATGCTATCTGCATCTCCACTGTACTTGGATCCATATATGGTCTGCTTGATCTTTTTCGCACCAAGATGGAATATCTCCAGGAGATTAAGGAACAGGGATACCCCTGCAATGACCAGCATGAAAATCATGAAGATGCTCTTCTCCGTCGGCCGTGAAACGAAGCAGTCCACGCTATTGGGGCAGGGGTCACGCTCGCACTTGTACAACGGCGCCAGTCCGATACCATAAAGCCCGTACTGCCCCACTATGAATCCCACCTCCACCACTGACCTGGTTAAGATATGCAACACGTATGTGCGCAGCAAGGAACCCCTCAGAGGGGCCTTCCTCACTTTCTTCTGCTCATCCAGCTTCTTAAGCTCCTTCTCTATACATTTGTGCTCCTCCAAAGCCTCCGTCTCCTCCAGCTCCACTTTCAGCTGAGCTTTCTTCTTGTGGCGCTCCTTCTCTAGCGTTCGGAGCCGGTAGAGTGCATGTCCCATGTACACCAAAGATGGTGAGGAGACAAAGATGATCTGTAAGACCCAGTATCTGATGAGAGATATGGGGAACGCCTGGTCGTAACAGACGTTCTTGCATCCAGGCTGCTCTGTGTTGCACACAAACTCACTTTGCTCATCGTCCCACACATCTTCCGCAGCAACCCCGAGCACAAGCATACGGAAAATAAAAAGAATGGTGAGCCAGATTTTGCCTACAATGGTGGAGTGAATGTGAACCTCCTCCAAGATACTTCCTAGCAAGTTCCAATCTCCCATTTTCACATGGCCTAAAACTGAAAGAGTGAAGGTTGTAAATTCTAGGACAAAAATATTGTTTATGATACAGCAGCCTATATTTAACAGATAGATATAGATGGATGGAATTTCAACTATACTAAGTCACATTAAAAGGGTTAGATTAATTACACCCATAAAAATAAAACCTTACATTTTAAGTTGGTGGTAGTCGCAGAAGACTTGCTGCATCAATTCATCACACTAAAAACAATATCATACAACTCCAGTATCCTTTCATCCTCGTGGGAGTAATTAGTACTCCTCTGTGGCGCTCGCTTTGTTGAATGAAGTCCAGTTTCTCTGTGCATTGAACTCATACAATGCTACTATCGATCTGTGGGCTGGACAATACCCTGAGGGGGCTAAATTGCATCACAACTGTTAAGGGCAGGTCAGGGGGAACACACAATTACCAAAATACAATCCCCATGGCCTGTGTAAAAATGTGCCAAATTGTAGATCTTCGGGTAATGAATAATAAACTGTAAAATCGGAACACACCCAACATTACCTTAATGTTAATCGAATATATGCACTTAAAATATTGGCTGTTTAGAATGGCATACTGACACACTATTATAGAAGATATGAAAAGTTCAGATGCAAAAGCCTCTAAATGCCATTTGAAATTTTCTTCTTTAATGATGATTTTTATCAAACTTGTATATTTAAGTTCAGTAATTTCACTTAAATGGCAATGATAATTACCTATTAATTGTTATTTAAGTGAAATTAATGAAATAAAATATACAAGTTTGATAAAAATCATCACTAAAGAAGAAAATTTCAAATGGCATTTAGAGGCTTTTGCATCTGAACTCTTCATATAGATATATACAGCCACCAGTATGCAAATTTTATTATGCACAGCGCACAAATACTGTATCCCATAATGCAATGTGTTTGACTTGACCTTCCATATCCAATGTGACAACTGGAAATAATTATAGCTGCAATTTGTAGCATTTATATTGACTCATTTTATCGTTTTTCCTTAAATATTGTAATATTGTATTGTAAGTACTTTGTACTATGAGGTGTGATATGTTTAAGTGTGATGGTATATAGGTTTAAGGGGTAGGTTAAGGTGTAGGCCCTTCCCTTAAACCTTAACCTACCCCTAAACCTACCCATACCAGTGTAATTACATAAATTAATTACAGCTCTAATTACATGCAGGTATTTTCAAAATATAAGTACAATGTAAAAACATGTATGTACACAATAAGTACATTGTATCAAATTATTCAAATTATTGAATTATTTCAATGTAAGTGCCTAGTACTTAAAGCCAAAAGGGACATTTTTACTCTACATTTCATGTGCAAAATTGCAATGCATTGTGATGAGACAACAATGCTGCTTCTTGAAAAATGTATTGTTTCATAATAGTGTATACACTACATAGCACTTGTTGTCTAGGCGAGACATTGATGATCAATGTGTCATGTCCGATTTAGTCTAATGCTTCAGGGCTATTTTTGGCTAGTCTGAGGGTGATGTAAGCGAGAAACTCAAAACCACCTTCAAGAAAAAAGTATAAGCCAGCTGTAGCTTGGTGCAGATAGAAATGTAGTTCACTGTGGAGTTTAACAATTGAATATAACAAACAAAGTTCAGTGTGAACAAAAGTTAAATCTAGATTTCAGAGAGGGTTGCCAGGTTTGCATAACAAAACCAGCCCACTTGCTGTTCAAAACCCTCCCGATAACGGCCAAATCTTGCTCGATCGAGTTCCGTCTGCGGCAACAGCGTAAAAGTAGCCCAATTCCACGGGAAAACCATGGACTTGGCAACACTGATTTCAGAGATAAAGTGGCCTAAGGTCAACATCTACCAGACTGTGACCTAAATATCTCTCTTCTGCCAGGACAATAGTATTGTCAGTGACAGTGAGCTTGGAATTGTTCAATAAATTAGTGGATTTACTGACTTTATAGGCCTACATCAACAAAAAATCAAATTGACACCACTTGGTTAATTGTAATTGCAAAAAGAGAAAAGCCAAATATCTTTTGTTTGCCATAGTTTTGCTATTTATATCAAATTGGTTTCCGACAGCATATAATCCGGTGAAATGGTAAATGTTATTTTGAATGGACTAATCCAAAGTAAGAGATCCCAGAGTTTAGATAATTCTTCGATGCAGTTTGAAAACTGCTAAATATTTATCTCAAAATGAACTTGCCATAAGATTTCATAAATAAGATTTATTTCAAGATTTGTCAGAACTTACAAAATATTTACAAAATTTATTTCCAAACAACATACAAAGTATTTTCCCCACATTTAGGTTTCTCTCTCTTTGAGAAAAAAATAAAAATTGTTAAAGAAAAAAGAAAAAGATCATAGAAAACTCTTTGTTCAATCCAACTTTACAAATATATACAGAAGGGAATACTCCCCTCATTCAACACCTAGAAAATATTAATTGAAAATATCAAATCTTTCAGGATGACTAATGGAACAAAGATTGAAAATTGAAATCTTGACAATTGCAGTTAAAATACTAATATTACTCTTTTCCATCTCTACATTTAGAGCAAAGTTACACCTACACCCACCTCATTCACATAACCAAAAGGAAAATCCAAGAGATCAAAACTTGAGGCCTATAAGCATTTAGGTTAAAGATTTAAAAAACATTTGTAGTTCAGAGGTAGGTTTAAAAAGCATTGCAAATATCCCAAAAATCAACTTACAATGTCCTTTAAATACTTTTTTGTTCATTTAATTGCATAAAAACACGACAACTGTAGTACCATAGTACTGCAATGACCAACTTGCCAAAATAATGAAAAACAAATTCTGAGGCATCATACAGGGCTTTAAGCACTGAAAATACCATGAACCGTCATTTATCTACTTTGTGGTGTCTGTTTATGTCCTGGACACAGATTAATGTAAATTTCAGAGTAGTCCACACTGCAAATGTTTCTCTAGTTAATAGACTCTAAAATGTTGCCTGATTGGTGTCTGGTTTGCAGGAATTATGACTTTTAGAACACTGAATGTAACTAAAGAAAAATAACTGTATACCATTTACTGCAGATCTTTTGGTGAGTTACAACTGTAAGTGCTTTTTCAAACAGATGGGCAACATTAACACATATAATACACTGATTTTCATATTCAGTGTGTTATATTTCTGCTGTTGGATGCTGACGCACGCATTGAAATCTCCATAGACTTCTTTGTAAAGTCTGTTCAATTTTATTCTAGTTCGATCAATTCTCCATTTTCTCTTTCTTCTTGAATAGCTTCATCAATTGAGAGAATCGCTCCTCAACCTGTCAAAGAACAGCAATAATTAGTTTACGACAAAGCAGTTACCTGACGTCATTAAAGAACACAAAAACAAAGCATACCTGCTCTGTTGACTTCTTCAACCTTTTCGACAGAGCAGCAAATGTCTTGGGTGAAGTCCCCTTCATTTTAAGCTCGATGAGTATGTCTCGATCTTCATCCCTTTAAAAGACATGAGCTTAATTTTATTGGTTTCTTTAACTTAAGTACACAAACACACATTGTGCACATAGAATTAATAACCCATAACAGGAGTAGAAATTCATTCAAATCACCTGGTCCATGCCACCACCACTTCCCCTTTCTTCCTGATCACATTCTTAGCAGACAGGCTGCTAGGGGACACCTGGGGCATTGCAGTTTTTACGCCTTTTTCTTTGGAGGATTTTGACCTTTTCTTATGCCTGGACTTGGAATGTTTATCTTGAAATTCTTCGACCTTTTGGCGCTTTGCCTTTGGCTCCGATTGGTGTTCCGATTGGTGCTCCTTGCGTTTCTTTGACACCCTCTTGGATTTAGACTCTGGTGCACTTGGGCTCTGAGTTGTGTTCTTTACATTTCCTGACATCATCTCTGTGGTTTCAGCCTCTGTTGCACTGCTTTCCTCAGGAGCAGTAACGAAAGCTTCTATGGAAACAGGCGCAGTATTGCTCCTGGACAAGTTGTCATCACAAGCACCTTCAGGTGAGGATTTTTGGCTAGACTGTTGAGCTTCTCTTGCTTTATCTTCAATGTGACATGACTCTATTACCTTGGTGGGGCTTTTGTTCAACATCTCTCCAGGTTCAGGACCCAAGTCGTCATGGGTCAGAGCAAGATTAGGGTTGAGAGATGGCTCTAAACATTCAGGTAATGCTGGTACTGCTTTCCCTTCATTTTGTTTACTTTCAATTGGGCCAGTAGATGTCCGTCTTATTCGCACGATGAAATGATCATTTGACCTCTCCATTACCACAGCCTGCATTTGTAAATTAGGTTGGAATTGGAAACCCGATGGATCAGAGCCCTCCCATGTCCTGATGGGACTCGACCCACTACTGGAGTTGTCAGTGTCAAGAGAAAGGTGGATGTCCTGTTCAGTGGCATCTTCTCCATCAAGAAGAGCGTCTTCACTATAATGGGCACTGAGGACACTCTCTGGGACAGATAATGGCTGTCCAGTTCCAGGGTGCAAAAAACTCAAGTGGCTATCAGACTTTAATGGTGAGGGAATGGTAAGGGAGACAGCTAGATCTTCCGCCAAGATGGAGAAGGACCTTTGAGAGATTACGGTTGACTGAACAGGAAGCTGGCATGGTTCAGAATTAGAGGGAACTTCTAACAAGCAGCTCTCATCGAGAATTGCTGGGTCTAACAGCATTTTGCTGTTTGAAGCAAACTTGTAGGGGGAAATGGAAGACCAGGATGTGATTAATTTAGATGGGGTTGTCTTGTTAGGGGTCATAATCCCAATCAAACTATCTCCTGGAAGCCCATCTTTTCGAGGTGTGCTGAGTGGCCAACTTGTATTGTCACCAACAGGTACACTGGATTCGAGCAAATCAGAACCTTGCAAAAGACATTTGAATATCTCTCCCATTTGAGAGTCAGAGACCAAGTTGAAGGTTAAGCTTGATGTCTGCTGCTCAGTTAGAATTTCAAAGTCTGACTTATCCTGAATCGATCCATTATGGGAGAGACGTCGGACATAGGAAGAGATTCTATTGTCAGATTCTGAGGTACCTTTTTGGAAAGACCTTTCAGAGGATGAAGTAGGAAGCTGTTGTGATGTCGTCACCTTTGCCGGCTGATCGTCTTCATTCATGACAGCTTTAATGTTTTTACCTCGGCTCCCAAGGCCCCTGCGAGGCAGATTATTTGCAGGGGCCTCTCTGACGAAACTTCCTGTGTCAACTTTCGACTTCTTGGCAAGGTAAAGATGCCCAGGTGTGCTACATGGTACTTTTCCTAGCACCTCACTCTCATCCTCTTTTCTTTTAAGGGTTGCATTTTTATTTTCATTTGATATATTCTTGGAAGGCTCAGACTCACTTTTGAGTGCCATCTTCAGTTCCTTGAACAAGAAATCAAACTGCCCATCCACAAATGTCCACAACTTTTGCTTGAGGTCTCCAGCTCTCTGCTCAAAGATACGATTGACGATGCCATTCTTGCTGACCTTGCTCATTATTGACGAAATAATCTTATTTAGTCTAACTTTGATGTCATTACCTTGGCAGCACAATTTATCCATGTCAACCGCATTGATAAATTCTGTAAAAGAGGCATGAGACATTTCCACTATACAGCAGAAGGCAGTCTTAGTGACATTTTTCTGAAGCTTCATGTACTTTTTCCTCAACTCAACTCGAATAGATCCCAACATGTCCATAAATCCATCTAGCGTATAGACCGCTGCTTTGAATGGTGGGCTAACAGTTTTAAAGCGTCTCTTACTAGAGGTGGGACTGTCCTTAGAAGCAGACGACCTTGAAAACTTGCTTTGCTCTGAATATTTAGCAGGGGCGCAAGTTTTCTTTTGGGACACTCTTTTCCGAACTGCAGATATCTTTGGACTTGGAGTCCCTGAGGTTGGTTTTTCCTTTTCTCTTGGAGGAGTCTGTATAAACAGAGGTCCTTCTTCTTCACTCTCACTCACTATCTCACCATCCTCCAGCTCATCTTCCTCAGTTCCAGAAGCCGAGAGAGTATCTTTTGTCCCTTTGTAGGAAGAAGCTGTGACAGAAGAGTCAGGTGATTTATTCTCCTTGTTCATGTCCATATTTACTTCATCCTTATCACTGCCAGTTGTTACAGTTGATAGATCTGAGAGAAAAGAAATAAAGAAATTAACATTAGCAAGATTACACATTAACCTGTTGGGCCAATTATTGCAAGAGTCAATAAATATTAATGGAATAATTAGTGCAATTTTGGCAATCAAAACATAGGCCAGGTTTCACAGAGACTAAGCCAGAAAAAAAACATTACTGGTTTGGATCTTGAGACAAAACAATGGCACTGACATGTTTTAAGATATATCAGTGCAACTTGCTTTCAGTTAAGACAGCTCAAACATGCATCTTGTCTGTGAAACCAGGGGTTACAATGTTAAACAAAGCATTAATATCAAAACAAAAACAAATACTTACCTTTGTGAAGACTTTTGACATGAGGTTGCTTCTCAGCAGGCTGAGGTTGCACTTTTTTCACCTGACGGACTGGGCTTGTGAGAGGGCTGATGGGCTCTGGAATAACTCTGATGTTCCTCAGGGTAAGCATCATGGAGTCTTCATCGTGGCAAAACACAACAGGGTTCAATGACTTTGTGTCCTGTTCTTCTTTTTCTGTGGAATCTGGCTCTAAGAAACCAGGTTGTGATGATGGCATGATATCCTCTTCCACAGTGGTGCTATTATTTGGAGCCATCGTGTTCTGACTCCATAATGGACTTTGATGGGATTTTTCAGATATTTTCAAATTTTCAGATGTGTGCTGTGTTTTAATTGATTTTGAATATTCAAATGTTTCCTCTGCTCTCTTATTGTCCTCTTTTGAAGTGCCCACTTGCTCAACATCACAAATAACTTTGCTCGGGTCACCTTGATCTACACTAATTGTACTAGACGAAACTTCCACGTTGACAGATCTCCCAGAATAATTAATATTAGGAATACTTTGTGCCTTCTCAGAGCATGAAACATCATCTTGACAAATCTCTTTTGATGCTGGTAATAAATCTTGAGAGTTGGCCTGAGGATTCCTTTGGATTTCCATGTGAGAAGTCTCCTCAGACAAAGTGGCAAAATGATCTTGTTGCTGACAACCATCAACTATTGAATCAGGAGTATTATCTGAAACTACCACTTCTGATATTTTAGAGGGCAAAGTGATAGAGACAATGGCATTATTAATAATTCCCAAAGAGTCTTCTGTGTCATTCTCACAGACATGATTTGGAGACGCTCTCGTAGGGGTTAATTTTGATAACAAGTCTTTGTCTAACACATTGGAATCTGAAGTCTTGCCTCTTTTCTCCTCTGAGGTGTTAACAAGCCATGGCACTTTGTCCACAGCCTCTTGACTTTCGGTGGCATTCTCTTCTTGTACCTCCATATCTGTTTGTTCTGCTGACGGCTTCTCAGAGGCTACAGCTGTGAAGAGATCAACAACTTGTCTAGACTGTTTGAAAGAACTGGTAAAGTCTTCTTTTTCACCTGCAGTCGTGGCCTCAGGGGTCTTTTCCATGTCCTCATCGCTCTGCTGGCTGTTCTTTAATTCATCGATGACATAGAATTCCTCCCCAGCGTTGGATAATCTGCTGTTATATGAGGAGGCATCTTCAGATGCTGCTTCAATGGCTTCTGTGGATTCAGAGGACTGCTTCTGTTTTTTAAGAGGCGATAGGGTGAGGTTCAACGTCTCCATGAAACTCAGTTTTCTGTCTGGACTATTATCCTTGGATGTTTGGCAGGGGTCTATGCTGACAGCTACCACTGATGGTAACTCTGCTTGAACAGATTCAAGATGTTTGTCCTTTTCAGTACGTTTGTCCTTTTCAGTATGTTTGTCCTTTTGAGTCTTACTATCTTGATCTTTTCTGGGATTTTTGTGTTTTTTACAAGAGTTCTTTCTGTCATCTTTGGTAAGAAAATGTTTTGATTCTCCATGCTTCTGCACCCCATGCTCCTTCAAATGTCCACCTCTTTTTCTTTCTCTGTCCTTGACTATATCCTTCTCTTCAAAACCGTTCTTTCCAGTACTTCCATTTTTGTCTGGGAATTTCAAATCCTCCATTCTAGAATTATCATAGCAATGAGAACGTTTGCTTTTTGTTGATGGCTCATCGATTCTCCTCGATGATTTCCCCTTATTAACATCCTTTCTTTGAGAATCAAGTTTGGGAGAAGAAAAGGCTTGCCTACTGTCAAAGACATCAACTTGTTTCTTAGATCTTTTATCTTCATCTTTATTAGCCATCTCCTTTGTACTCCTTCGCGAATACTCTTTGCTATTGTCTGATATGTTACTGCTTCTCTCTCTACTACTACTGCAGCTGTTACCCTCACCTCTTTTACTCCTCTCACTCTCCTTTGGCCTCTTTTGTTCATGGTCTTTGCTTCTTTCCATTCTGCTGCTCCTCCTCGTTGTACTGGAACTTTTATTCTCATTCCTTCTATGGCTACTTGAATCTGTTTTCTTACATTTGTGGTTTTGGGAATGGCTTTCTTCATCCACCACAGTACAATCTGTACTTCTCAAGCCAGAGTGTCTAGCGTCTCTGCTATTTTTTTCTGCATTTTGATTATGCATGTGTCCTTGACTCTGTGTCTCACTCTCCACATCTGCAGCCGTCTTAACTGAACTTTTGGATGGCTGTGAAGAGACAGGTGGCAAGGCTTTGTGAGACAGGGAGGAAGGGCTTATCAAGTGTTCTGAACTAGTACGAACGACTGTAACCTCAGGCTGCTGATTTCTGTTTTCATTAGACCCAGAACTATCTTTTGCAAGCTCTTTTTCAGTGATTGTGCAATTCTGTGTTTTTTCTAGACTGCCTATATGTTTTGAGGGAGGGTTCTTGTTTCCCTTTAAGCTACTGAATCGACAATCAGTACTTGTATCGGGAGCTCTCGGTCCAGAGTTATTCGTTTTGGGAGCATTCAAGACATCTGCAACTGTGGAGGGATTTTTTATAATCCCTGATGTTCTGTAAAGTCCGTAGTCTTGCTCTGGTTGGACAGTCAGGGTCTCAGCAGATCTGTTCTGACAGTTCAGAGGACTTTCAATATCAGTTCTTGGGCATCTCTGGAGCACCTCAAATGGTTGTGGTGCTGCAGTTGGCGGATATGCAGGGTGATCCGACACAGTGTTTCTGCCCTTGTGTTGATTTAATTCAGTCATAGTATTATCTTGTCTATCACCTTGTAATCCTAAAACAGAACTTGAAGGATTGTTCAAACTGTGCCTTGAGTTTGCTGGACCATTTTCCATTTGAGATCGACGGAAATTTTGAGCATAACTTCCTCGACTGGACCTGTGATGGCAACATACAAAAAAAACAGGGAAGTGACTTTTACAGAAATCCATCCAATCCTGACACAAGCCAAGGTACATCATCTGTTAGGTGATATCAGTACCAGAGTTTTTACCTATTGCTGAGTCTGCTAATCTCCTCATCCTTACGCACAATCTCCATTCTAGCAGTCTTGACGAGAGAACAAATGTTCTTCTTCAGAAGTACGTTTTCACTGCTCAAACTTGAATTCTTTAAATATGAAGTAGAAAAAACAGACTGTTTATTCCAAGGTTTTGGTATTCATTATGTATAATACAACCATTAAAAATGTAAACACACCTTTGTCTCCAGTAGCTGTAACTTTGAGAGCAGTTCATTAACTTGTTTTTGTGCATCATCAAATTTTTGCTTTAACTGAAATAAAAGATAAGTACAATGAGACAATGTAAATATTCTGTCAAAATCTTAACTTTTAAAGAAAAATCAAAACCAAACAAATAAGCAACCATATTCAAAGTTTAGAGTTCAAGTTACAAGACCTCACTGTAAATTTAATTTAATTTACAGACCTCATTGTATGTTGCCTGCTTTTCTTCTTGTTCTTCCCTGATAAGTTCCTCATATATATCCATTGATTCCATTGTCCGTGGGGAAATTAACGGGTTGACTTCACCTAATTGAAAAAATGACAATATAAAACATTGCATCCTTCTATTTCTCTGGTATTCATACATGAACAAATTACTATAAACAACTATAAAATATGATGTACTCAAGCCAAGACTCATTAACGAAACCCACCTCTGTGTCCATCACCCTTAGGGCTGTTCTCCAAGCCAAAGTAAATGTCCACCGAGTCCTCATTGTAATGCAGAGATTTACCTGCATCAAATACAAACCCTGATATAGTCATAATGCAAAACAATTCCAGCATATACACCTGTCTAATACATGTATGTTTTGTTTACACAGAGCTGGGGCCTGAACCTGTTAAGACAAGAAATTGGGGAATAAAACAAAAAAGGTAAACCAAACAACATTATCTGGATCAAATCGTGATAGCTACATTTTCGATCTGATTGAATTTATTATTATTATTATTTTTTTTTTAGGTAAAAACAGGTTTAAATGCATTAAAAAATACTGTATATTAGTAGACTGGTAGAGTTAGGGATTGAATAAGTTGACATGTAGTTGCAAAGTTACTTATAGTCAGTAGATTGTCTGTTGCAGGAGCATCACAATAAAGAGTTGGCAGATATTAAACAGACAGTCTGTGTAGTTGCAAAGTCACTTAGTCAACAGGACATTCAAAATGGACCATCAAAAGTGTTATTATTATTATTTTTTGTATTTTAAAATTGGCCAGGCGAAAATGATAAATATTAGAAAGCACACTTAGGTGGACTAAATGGCCTCAATTTCAAAAGCAGTTGTTGTGCTGCTCATGCATGTAGTGCAACTATCTACATTTAGTTTATTTTGCCTGTCTATGATCTTGTGAAATTATTAGTAAAGTTGATGATCTGCTATGATGACAGTGTTATCAAAAATACGTTTAAAGTACAGTAGAACAATACACATTGCTGGAAATTAAATGTACATGGACAAGAATGTGGTCTGTTAAGGTATTTATTGTAGATCTAAGATCATTCTAAAATCAATTTACATTATAACTTACAGATAAAAGCCGCAATAAATGCTAGATCCATACAGATAATTGATAATACAATAGCTAGTACTCGACTGATCCTACCAGAAAGCATGTTAAATATGTGAAAATAAAGTATCTGTTGAGCTATATATTCTTACCTGAGGGCTGATCAATATGATCTCCACCAAGTTCATCCATAAAATCCATTTTCAGTCAACTAAAGAAAGACAGAAAATAGTACAAGTTCCTGAAAACTGTGACAATAACAGCAACAACAGGCATGTGTCAACTACACCACTTCCTGTAATTTACTAAAGAAACACTGTACTGAAGTAATGCACATTATGCGATATTAAAACAAGAGTCAACATGATATTGAGGTTAAAAAGTAAGACAATCACACACAGAACAATCCACTATACTAACACAAAATATACTTGCGACTGTAAATCACGCGTTTTACACAAACACTGACGAAGTAAAGCGATCAAAATTCATTATTTAGTAGTACAGTATGTGTACAAAGTGAAATTAAATGAAAGTATATGGACAATACCTGTATATCTGGTAGTGAGCAAACGACAACAGGCGGATATAAAACAGTAAGATGGACCAAACACTGTACAACGGAGTTCAGGATGTGACACCCATGCTATCGTGCTCATAAAATATAATTTGCAGTCAATTAGCAACTTTCAACTTGCTTGTAGACAGCGATTAAAAAAAATCTTGAAGCATATTTCCACCAGGTCCGCGCCATCCTTAGACCGTACACATTCGCCAAATAGGAAGTGACGTAATTTTCCCGCGGTCTCTCCTTTTCTAAAAGATAACGATCATACATATATATTTATACAAAATCTAAACTAAATTTCATGTTTTTTACGCAATCGTCAAAATAATGGAATGTTCATTATTTAGTACATTAAGTACAACAATTATTAACATTAACAGTAAATATTTTGATAAAATAATCCAAATAAAAAAAATCCTTTAAATTCTTATGGTCATTGTTTGAAAAATATTATAATATTATACATTTCAACGATAATCAATAAAGCTTAAATCTAACCGCTAAACAAAACATATAATAATAATATACATGGCCCTTATTTCAAACATTGACTACGATTATCTTGTTTCTGTCTTAAATGTTTCTAAAATAAGGTTACACAGCTCCGTGTTGTTGATTGACCAAATTTTATTAAATCAATTTCCAATTGAATAGGATTGACCTTAAATACAGCTGTAGGACACAAACAGAACAGTGCCGTCCAAACTAACATATTTAGTCTAAATTATCTATGCGTTTTAATATGAAATCCTCGCACAGAAACATCTCTTTGAAGTTAGTTTGCTGCTCAGGGAGCGTGAGCCCTGCAACAGACACAGTCGAATGACCCGGAAGTGCTCTTCATTTACTCACATGTGGACAGGGTTTTTAATACTGACGGGAACGTGCTCGCTGTGTTGTGTACAACCTGGACAGCCAAGCGAGTGATGAGTCTTATGGTTCCCATCACGTAGAATACTTGGAATATTAAAGCCTTTATCAGCCGCAGAGACATCGTCAGAAATCCCTAAAATCACGACAAATGATAGAATGGAAAACCTGGAGTTGAGCCTGACGTCTCTGGGCGCAATCTCAAGACATATCGAGAAAAGTCACAACGAACTCAGCAAGTACCTCGCAAAACAGGTGAGACTGAATTTCCTGAGCACTTTATAAGACCGTCATAAGAGGCTTTCATCTGTTTAATGCAGAGTACAACGTGTGTGTCACACTACACTGTCCCACGTTTCTGTAGTACACATGCTGCTCCATTGGTGGTTTATACATCATATTCATTAGTTTAATAAAATAACTGACATTTAAGTGTTCTGCTTATTAATCTGTTAGGGAAACTAGTCATATTTTCGAGCACGAGCATTATTTTTTTGCTGTTGCAACATAGCTTTAATAGTTTAGGTTGTTGAAACATGCTGCCACAGTTTATTATTGTGACAAATATACAAGAGGCAGTATAAAATAGCCACTGATTACCTTACCTTCATCAGTATTCATTCACATTGATGTGAACATAAACCGGGTTATAAATTCATGCTTGAATATCTATCATTATTTAGAACCAATCCAAAAGTATCCACATGGGATTTCCAACATAATGCACTACAAAATGTGATTTTGTTTCACATTATGAATCAGAGAATATTTCAGGATTTGAAAACGACTATAACTCATCCTGTGCTTATTTACATCGTTATTATTAGACATTATTTCATTAGATATATGAATGTTGGAATTTATTCAGCAGGATCTGTTTAGATTTTCGTTTGATTCCATAGGCATATTTTAATATTATTTATTTAGCTGAACATGAATCGTTCTGCTTGTAGATATGGAGCCAGCAGGACAGGCAGTGTATACTGGAATGTCTTGCGCAGCTCCTGTTGGAGAAGGAATACACTCTCCTCATTGCTCGTCACTTACGTCCACTGATCCTGGACCTGTTGGAGAGGAATGCTGCGAGGATCAAAGTAGACATCCGGCTGAATCATGACCTCCACGAGCGTTTGTGTGTGACTCTAAGCAAACTTCTCAGCATCAGTCCAGATGCTCAAGCGTAAGTAATTCTTCAGAATTTATCCACAGGTTTCCCATTTATCATGGAAAACCTGGAAATAGCAGGTCATTTTAAAGCATGGGAAATTAGTGGCCATAATACAATTTGTTTAGAGTATTTGGAGTATTTGTTTATTTGTGAACAAACAAATTGTGAACAACCTTTTAAATTTGTTAAGCCGTTTTATTAGTCTAAATTATTTGTTAGCAAATTTGTCTGAATGACTTTAAAATCATGAATCATATTTAAAGATCATGGGAATTCATTAGTCAAAAAGTATGAAATGATGGATAACAGATGTTGTTGTTAACACCTCAGAACAAATGTCCAGGATGGCATGAACAAGTTTGAATTGTTTTCTCACAGGTTCGCAGCAAGGTATTTCAGCAGCTCTCCCCCAGTATTTCAGAGGCTGTTCTTCACCAGTGAAGAGGCTGCCTCCATCCAGTATGGGCCCAGACGGATGAAACTACGGGACCTGATGGGGGCCACCCTCCGCTTCCTCCAGAGCGATTGTGAGAAGTTCCGTGTCCTGTGGGACTGGAGTGCCTGTGTTTCGCAACTTCTCACCAGTGACGTCATTGTCAGAAGGTATTGCAATGAGTAGATCAGTCACAAGCTCTCGCCAGAATATAAATATCTATTTGCTAAAAAAAAAAAAATAATAATAATTCTGTGTGTTTTTAAGCTACACTGCCCAGTGCCTTGCCCTGGTGTCCCACATGACAGACAACCAGAAAACAATATTTCTAAGGAAGGTTCTTTCAAGTGAAGAGATTATGCATTTGAAAATGAAGTAAGTTTTTTTTCGAATTGTTCAGAAGATACTCACTTGTGTTAACTCAAACAACATTACAGTATCACATCTTTGTAGATCACTTGAGGAGACACAGCAGCTGGAAGTAGAAAAGGCTCTAGTTTTGGCCAATCAGGGCTCAGCAATATGGCGAAAAGAGAGAGTTAAAAAGATCACCCGTGGTCAGGTGGTGACCGAAGACCTGACTCAGAGCGTAACTGTGGTGTGTGGGGTGATTCTACCTAGACAGACCCCTCGACAGGATGAACAGGCAAGACAATCATTCAAAAAGACAATTTCAAGCTTATAAAAGCCAGATTTAATATAACTAGAAATATGTTTTTTTTTTTTTTTCCCCAATACCTCTTAGTGTATTGTGGGATAATATTGTATGTATTGTAATCTCTCTACATCCATCATTTTCAGACAAGTTTAAGGAATTTGGTGTGCTGTGGATTCAACTTGTCAAAATCTACGGCGACTTGCCATGGCTGTTGCATCCCAGAAACCCATTCTTTTGGAAGGGCCAATTGGTTGTGGAAAAACTGCTCTTGTTGAATATCTAGCTGCTGT